CCGGCTGGGTGCTTGGACTTGACCAAGGAAAGGCTATGTGCGATCCAATGGAAACGTGAGACCCACTCATATCATCGTGGAAAAATTAAATTACCATTAATGAAATAGGGTGAATACCTCTCATATACAAGCTGTTATATTAGATACTGTAAATTTTTAATCTTCATGTTTCTATCCTATAGCTCCAAATAATTTTCCTACACCTATAAAAATCAAACAGAGCAGATTTCATTTTATTTTGGCTCTTCCTATATTTAATTGATCCGAACATCTTTTGATAATTTCCCTTTATTAATCTCGCTTAGACATTTTAACTTCGGGCAGTAGAAAATCTGTATCATTGTAAAAAAAATATAGTCTCCTAAAAAATTTTTGCTTCTACCATGCCTGTGATACTCGTATTTGTCATGTCGGATAGTTCGTATACAGCCTTCTTGTTTATTTATTTCGAACGCATTTTTATAAATTAGAGTGTCTTTATCAAAATTGCAACAAATGTTTTACTCTGTGAGTAAGGATTTTATGCATCACCCACACTTTTTCTTTTTAAGTATCCACAATTCATTTATAATCATTATTTCTGCCCAGGCTCCCTGTCCTTGCGAGGCAGTTACCTTCGATGTCGGACATACGATCAGATCAACATTTCCCAGCTCAAGTCTTGTTCCTGGGAACTCCTGCTGTGGCCAGGTTTGTAGCGGTAGTCCCCACCCTGGTACTGGTGCCAGTAGTCACCTAGAAACGACGGATCGTGTTGTACCAATGCTACCCTCCATAAATTGCCAGCACATCTCGAGACTTTCGGGACGGTCAAATACAGGTCTCGGATCAATTACCACTACGTCTTCGCTGACTCAGATAGGATCATCATCTATAATTGCCCTTTCGACCGGAATTTGCGATTCAAACAAGCCGGCTGAGTTTGAAAGGATGAACAGCAACCAAGATTCCAGGGCGATATCGAAGATAGCTTTGGGTAATTATTTTTTTGTTTTCTGCAAAACCAGTGATCGAATAAACTATCTCAGTAACGCATACGTTTTAGCATCGCTTCCTTATACTTATATTCAAACCCTTGACGTAAATTCATGGATTTGATTTTTAATTTTTGGATGGAATATTCTCTACAAGAAGCTTTGGGACACAACATTCGATAGAACATTGAAATTCCTTTAATAGAAATATTCAGTTCCATGAAAGACTGGTAATAAAAATGGTTTTTTTGTACTTCGAATGGACATAATACAAGAGTGAACTAGCTTAAAAACACGACCTTTTCAAAAAACGCCAATTTATACTCAATATATATCGTTGTATACACTTTATTGAAATCATACTCGTTTTATGTGGGGTGCTTTTCTTGTCGTGATCTCTTCTTCCATTATAGTGCGAGTATTTTTCACTTTCTGGCCTTGAAAAGCTTATTCTTGCAATAAATATATTCCTTATTCTCACATTTCACTTTTTGCCCCTTTTATCCGGGCATTTTTTGTCTTCTTGATCGGCCTTCAGAGTCTAAGATCAGTGAGACCTCGTCAGCCTCAATGCTCAACACCATCATCGGACTATCTTCAAGCTCAACATCATTTTGTCCAAATTTTCCCATCGTCACTAACATTTCTACACCCGAAATCTCCAAAGCCTGCGTCAAGTCTGCGACTACTGATGCTAATTTAGCCTCTAAAGACAGTCCATTGACGATATCAAAGTTGACAGCCTCCGCAGCCCCTGGATCTCCTGGCCAAGTGCATCAGCAACAACATTTGATCAAACCCTCGACATCTGACGCCCCATCTATACAAACTGGTGCAAAAGAGTTTCGCACTGGACAACCTTGGCAGCAGGTACAGACATACATTCAACGTTGAGTAAGAGTTATTCAGTATCCATTTTCTTATCATGGCTTATGTTACGAAACATATTTTGCTACGAATGCATAAAGGGGAACTAGGGAGGATTTTATTAACTTTCTAGACATGAAATTTACTTTGACATTATCTTTACTGATTCAGCTCTATTTAGTTACTACATTATTTGAATTTTGATGGTGTAGATATCACGAATCCATTGTGAATATGTAAAACAGGCTTAGTATACTTTAAAGGTCAGCATTATTGGATCGATTTCCGGTCTCTTTCCTGCAATGTGTTTCGATTCAAGTATAAATGCTACATTCTGCGATGGTATGAAGACCAGGATGGTGTGGCATTTGTGTGGTTGCAGTCTCCTTTCGTTGTATAGAAGTAGTTTGAACTTATTTTCGCAACTTGGTCATATGGGTATGAAAACTAAGAGGAACGCACCTAGTACGAACATGATCGTTTCCAGAGTGGAACCGTGGACGTGGTACATTCCCAGAAGTTTCGCCGGTACCGTAATCGGCATCGTCAGTGAGTCTCGCCGTTCGTAGCACCATATTAAAACACATCAAAGAGACAAGTGAAACTGATCCTTTGACCAAACGTGGGCTAAATAGTTATGGTATCTCCCCTTCTGCCCTACGCTATTCACATTTCCTATATCCTTCTATCATGACTTCCCTGTCAGACTTTTTACCGTGCTTATTTTTAATGTAGTGTGTGTGCTCCTTCGAGCGGCATTCATAAAAACCCTTCACAATCCACACTGTCGTTATCACCCCCTTTAACTTGTGCTCGTAATGTTGACCAGAGTTTGTCATATTGTTAAGTAGTCCTTACCTGGGTCCTATCAGAGTCTCTCTCTTACCTCGTCGAATCCGTCTGCTATCTCGCTGGTATATCTATTTCACTCGACCCATGCCCCTCATCTTTGCTACTAGAGGCATAATTCGTCCCTCCCCTGCACCTGGGTGATTGATTAGAGGCTAAAGCTTCAGACTAGGTCACAGTCATGCCTTTGCAGCATGGACCACGTCTCTTGTAAAACCTACAGTCAGCCAACTAGTTTCAATCGCCGCCTCGTCTTTTCTGTCTCTATCCCTAATACCAAGTCTATGACTTGCCATGCTCTAGTCACTTGTGTGACAACCCACAAATGTTGTGGTACTGCTGGCTTTGATTAGGTTCATAGGGGAGAAACCACAACTATTTAGCAAGCGTTTGGTCAAAGGATGGGTTTCACTTGTCTTTTTTACGAGTTGTAATATGGTGCTTCGAATGGCGAGACTCACTGACGATGCCAGCGAAACGTCTGGGCATGTAGCACGTCCACAGGCCTCCTCTGAAAATGATGATACATACAATGGACTCCGGACTTGGTACGTTCCTCTAAGTCTTCCTACCAATAGAACCGAGTTGCGAAAACAATGTCAAAAACTTCTATACAACGAAAGAAGATTGCTGCCATACAAAAGGCCACACCATCTTGGTCTTCATAATTATAGAACTATAGAAGTAAGATTGCCAAACATTGCACTAATTACAGCCGAATAAATAAGACAATTGTAAGTCAATCCTGCCATTTGGCCTTTTTGAATTGTTGTAAACATTATGGTATCAATCCCCGTTTTTGCAATTTAATAAGGAAGTGTCATTCGGACACAGTTAATAAAATATTTTATCACACATGCATCCAAAAATTAAGGAAAGTTGCGAGACTAAGAGGCGTAAACTATTTGAGTTCATAGATCTCAAGTCGAAAGGTTTGGACTTTGCTTTGCCAACCAGTAAGGAGAATAAGGTAGGGATTTTGGTGTAACTGACAGAGGGTTAGGGATCTGATAGATAAGCGGCATGACAAGAAATTGCTTAGTTATGGGATAAAAGGACAGAGCAAGATGAAGCCAACCCAGGCAAATTTTCATTCCCATCATAACTACAGACTGAAGATCGAAATACTTAGAAGTTTGATCATCAGAAGCTTACGACTAACGGACACTGAGTTCTGGGACGAGGAGTTGGACAAACTGACATGGATTTGCCCTAGTAACGGATACCCCAGAGCATTTATAGAAGAAAATGTGGAGATTATAAAGGATTTTATGAAAATCAGATAATGAATCAGGATAACAACCAAAAGTGGATAAGCCTACCATCATCACAACTAAGTCAACAATTGCGAACGTTACTAAGGGAATGGAACATCAGGGTGATAACAAAGAAGAACAGCACACTTTTCATCAGTCTGCCGACACAACACAAGAAGACTGACAAACTTGAATGCTCGGGAGCTTATCGTATCAAATGCGGCAACTGTGAGCAGAAGTATATCGGTGAAACAGGAAGAAAAATCGGCCTACGAATCAAGGAACATAAGATACTCTTCAGTAACATGGATACACAGAGATCACAAATAGCTCTAGCTTCCACTGTTTCTATCCTCTTTCTATCTATGATGTCTATGAACTTCTATGTGCCAACCCACAAACGTTTGTCGTTTAACATTGAACCTAAACAAAGCCAGCAGTACCACAACATTTGTTCGTTGGATTTTATGAAAATAAGATCAGGAATCAGGAAGGCGGCCAGAAGTGGATTTGCCTGCACTCATCAGAACTGAGCCAACAATTGCGACCCTTACTAAGGAAATAGAACATCAGGGTGATAACAAAGGACAAAACACTTTTCACAAGTCTTCCGACGCAACACGAGAAGACAGACAAACTTGATTGCTCGGGAGTTTATCGCATCAAATGCGGAAACTGTGAGCAGAAGTAGATTGGTGAAACAGAAAGAAAAAAATCTGCCTACGAATCAAGGAACATCAAAGTCTCTGCAAGAATATGCATACGAAATGATCTGAAATAGCGGAACACGACTGGAAATCGACCGAAAGGTTGGCTGCATGTGGTAGAAATACAAGAAAACGCAAGATCCGGGAAACCATGGAAATACTGACCGAGAGAGATGTTATGAACAGAACACTAGAAGAAGGTAGGATAAACGAAAACTTTGTATATTGCCTAAACAAACTCGGAGAATACCATGCAACAGCAGGATCGGCAAAAAGAAGACGACTTGATCAAGGTAATATCCTTAATTTTTGGTAAGGAGATCGCAAGAAGACGAGAAAGGTACAATCGGATGCAAGGAGGAGACGTCTTCAGTGAGCCTAATCAAAATAAATAGAACCATGACATTTTTGGGTTGACAAAGAAGAGACTAGGACGTAGGAAGCGATGGACATGGTATTACAGATACAAACAGGAAAGATGCGGTGGAGACGTGTTTGATCATACATGTGATCCTTGAATCACGACTATTGTTTGCCAACTTGCTCTAACTTTTACTGTTTATATCAGCTTTCTATCTATAATATCAAGTCTATGACTTGCTATGACCTAGTCTCTTGTGTGCCAACCCACAAACGTTTGGTTCACATTGAACCTGATCAAAGCCAGAAGTACCACAACATTTGTGGGTTGGCACTCAAGCGACTATGGCATGGCAAGTCATAGACTTGGTATTAGGGATAGAGACAGGATAGACGAGATAGTGATTGGAGCTAATTGGCTGATATTAGGTTTTACAAGGTGGTGCATGTAGCAAAGGCATGACCATGTGACTTAGTCTGAGGCTTTAGCCTGTAATAAATCACAGATGTGCAGAGGATGGACGAATTACGCTCGAGTAGCACAGATGTCGGCAGGGGTCGAGTGTAATACATGTAC